GTAGTATCATAATCGTTTTAAGAACAATTTGAAATTATTGTGTTCTTTGTGGTAAAATAGCGAATTGTTAATAATATGAGTGTTTGAAATTTATTAATAGTAATAAATAGATTTCAATCACTCATTCAGACGTTAAGAATTTAAAGAAAAAAAAATTTTAAAAACTGATATTTGGAACTACTTATATATAACTGCTTATAATAAAATAAGTTGTGATTGTTAACAGTTACATTAAAAATTTATTTATTAATATAATTTCATATCTTATATCTTGTTTCTCAAAAATTACTTGATTTTCCATTTTATTTTAATTTAGAAAGAATAAAAAGTTCACAAGTTTATGTACATGTATAATAAATTTCATACGAAATTTCTCAAAATTATTATTTTGACTATTTTTATTTACAACTAATCTTCTAGATCAATAGATTTGATAAATTATCAGATATATATTTTTTTAACTCGTACTACTGAATAATAGCGATTACCTTAAGAAGAATTGCAAATTGTCACACGTAAATATGTATTACACGTTGCCTGAATTTCACTCTTGTATTCCAAATGAGTTCATCAGAGTCACACGAGATGCATTTTAATTATATTTTTTATTCTCAATTATCTATCTTGGTCAAATTCAACACGAATACACGTATACGTATTCCCAGCATACAAAATAATCAGCACGTTTCAGACAATTATAGTTGAATGACCGTCAATCATTGTATACTTGGTTCGATAAAAGTAATCAAGTATTTATTTATGCCAAATACATTTAACTTGCATTCTTTTTCTTTAAAACTCAACTGTAATTAAATACAGATATAATTTTAAATTGTATTAATTACGAGATTACAATTATCTCTTACGTTAATAAGAATAAAAAAAAAAGAATATCGTTACCCTCGAATGCACAAGAAAAATCTGAACAAGATTGAATATTACAAATAAACGAGAGATAAATAAAAAATTCCTTTAATAATTCTCCATTCTCCTTTGAATTATCTGTATTTATTCAAGATTCCTGGTGATCCAAATGCAAAACAGGTTATACATTAAACAGAGAACCATCCAGGATGAACCATCTTCAATCATATATATTTTCTCTTGCGGAACGTGTCCCAAGACTTGACCCCAAAGAATATATATATATATATATACACACATATATATATAATATATATATCAGTTGAGATTGCGCTCGTGTTTTGTTCGCGTAGATGCATTATACGCGTGCTTTTTGTATTGCATTCCAGATAAAAGGTGCAGAGAGCGGGAGGAGGGCGAACAAAAGCTCGTAAAACGCTCGTTAAAAGCGCGAGACACGCGCGAGCTAACCGATAGAAAGAGAGAAAGAAAAAGAGGGCCGAATCTGAGCGATTGCGCTTAATAAAAGCCAGAACACGGCATTCAAGCTCAATCAGGGACTGGTTGTTATTGGTTCGTTGACTTTCTCTTCCTCGACTCTTAACCAGTGACGCTTAATCTGCTTTTTGTTCCCGACTCGGCTCTCCTCATATATCGAACGCGTTACTGCGATTATGCTCATCCGGAAATGGATAGTTTTTATTTGGGATAAAATATTCTTTGAATAATTTTTTATTTTAAATGATAATAAAGAATGAAGTACGAGAGATAATAAAGTTTTTGTAAGGAATATAAATTTCGCTTTTAATCGAAAATTGAGAAATTTAAAAAAAATATATATATATATTCGGGCACGAGAAAAGTAGCTAAAATAAAAATTTTAGAAAAATTATTCTATTATAGAAAAATATTTTTGCAGTGAAAGTTAATGATTATTCAACAAATATTTAAATATCAAATGAAATAACGAATATTGAAATAATTTTTCAACTACATTAATACGCAAATAATAGATATTATTTAAAATAAGAATGGAAATTTTCCTTGAATAATTAATTTAGAATTATATTTTATATTAATAATTTACAATTCGAATGCCTATTCCTCTATAATTCTATTATTCATCGTATTTCAAATAATTACAGTTTAAACATCTAATGAATATTCTATTATTAGTTGATATGTATGTATTCTGTAAGATGAAATCTTTTACACGTTGCAACTTTGTAAATATTTATAAAGAAAACTTATGAGATCATATTTATTCCTATTAATTGTCATTTAGCATTTAATTTATGCCGCAACAGAAATTTATTATACGTAATACATCACAAAGTATAACAATAAGATAATAGAAAAGTTACTGTTTTAAGGAAAATGAATTATTTCGAATTACTATAGAAATACTAAAATTGGAATTCCATAATTTGAAAATTCGCTTACAAAATTATTCCAATAAAATGTAAAAATGTAAACGTAATATGATTTTTTCTGAATCAATAATTCAAAAATTCCGAACTATATTATATCACTGTAGCACATAAATGATCGATTTATTACGAATTTACGAAACAATTCTATTTATTTATACATAAAGAGTTAAAAACGTGGCCATTTCTATAAAAAAAAAACAATAACTCTTTATAAGTAGTCTCTTTATAAATATTGCACCGAAGATCGATTAGAAAAGAACTTTTGAAATTAGCGTGCATTATATTGGAAAAAAATCCAATATGGAGGACTCTATATTACAAGTTTTAATAAAATAGTAATAAAAAAAAAATCATTCAATTTTTTTCAATACCGATCAACTAGTTTTCATTTTTTCTATCAAATATCATTATTTTTATTTTCTTTAAATATAATATAATACAACATGTTACCATATGTCGATCATCCTTATTAATTTAGTTCTTTCTCGTCTGATTCACGTCTCATAACACAACACTGTTTTTTGCCGATTACGCGATAATGGCGATGATGCACGAGAGGTGTTCGCAGAAAGAATCGACACTCTCTCGACTCTACAAGCGTCACGCTTTTTAAACGTGCACCAATTTGCCCATGGTTTCGCAACCGGCACGGATGTATCGCGCGAACTTCACGTCGTAACGAGCGGAACGATTCATACCGTGCGTGCGAATCTTGGCCACGGTTTGAGTCATCGCGTGCCTTCTTCGTGAACGAATTACCGCTAATCATAGCTGGGCACTAATCCACTAACTAAAAAATAACTAGTTAAAATTTTAAATAAAGTTACTTTAATGACTTTATTTAATATGTTTGAATAACATTTATTCGTTCAGCTATTACAGTTGATCCGTTTCTTAACCTTACTTTATATAACCTTGGTCGCTTGATATTACAGTTATTTGATGCTTTGAATAAAAAATTATCGAAGTAACTTATTGAATTAACTTTATTCTTAACTTCAATCGTTAAAATTTTGCCCATCTCTACTAATATCACTTATATCGATGAATATTATATCATAATAAAGAAACACCACTCCGCCTGCCATATTTCGTCTAATCGAACTGATTCTTGAGCGCCATCTTTGATCGATCAGTGGTCGATATATCTATCGATAAGTTGGTTGTTCTCTAACTGAACTTTGATAGCTAGATACTCTTCGTTCCTGGTATTCGAAGTCACGTTATTGATGTTCGATTGTTGAATCGAGGTTTCGAATTCCATCGATATGATGTAGACAAAACATCGTGCTATTTGAACCGTGACGAGATCGAGACGGTTAAATAATATCGAAATGGATGCATCAACGTGGGATATTCCACGCTGTAACACGCGTACGAAAATAAACCATTATCGTCAGAGATGTGAAGAGACGTGTAATTAATTCTTTGAAAATTTCAATATTTAATTTCATTCCATTTACAATTTATAATTCGTTAACTTTTTGTAATTATTATAAAATAAATTAAATAGATTACTTTATTTCGATGCAAAATATTCGAAAATTATATTTTATATTCTGTACGAGTCTGAATGAATTAAAAACCGAACCGGAAAAAGTGAAACTGTCTTATTTTGGACGAATAAAAATTTCAATGGAAACGTTGCTTTCATTAAATCAAATAATGTATTATGTAGTTGCATGCTTCTTTGATAATATTTCAATATAATGATATATTTAAACGACAACGAAGCATTCGTTTTTCTCCCTTTTTTTTTTTTTCACAATTTTATCGTCCGCTTTATCGATTATCTCCCCCATCGCACACTTCAAAATTGAGCTGGGCGTTTTAATCGCCATGTGATCACCACACGCTCACTTGAATTGAAATCGTGAGCCGTATGTACGCCATTGAGGCCACTTTTGATAACCCGTTCAATTGGACTCGGGTGCATAAAAAGGAGGTCTTAAAAATGTTACGCGTGTAATTTTTGAGGTATTTCTTTGAATATTAATACAAATTGGTATACATATTTTTCTCTCGATTCTTTGAAATTTTTCATACTAGATTAAATTTTTGATGCATATATGATTGGTGAATAATCTTTTCAAAAATATTAATCGAATATCAGGGTCTTGACATCAAATTTTTAAAAAAATGAAAAATTAATTTAAAAATTTTAAAATGAGATTTTGAACGATTTCGAAAAAGTACAGATTTATTCGTATTAAATAAATCGATTAAAGAAAAATCATTCTGCCAGATAAAAATGAATCAACAATTTTGAAAATGATTTATCACGTTTTATAATATATTCATAATAAATAAAATCCAAAGAATCATGCATTAATAAATACGACTAACTAATAATAAATATTACATCCAATAAATGTATAAACGTGAAAAATTATAATACAAAATATTGTACCCTGACTTTCAATGTCCCAAATTTCCCTTTTTTTTTATAGTTCTTAAAAAAAATACCAATATACCCGAAAACGATAGATCTCAATTTTCAACACGAGAATCGCGACAAATCTTCCAGTCAAGAGATTAAAACCCCTCTTTTGTCATTTTCTAGCCCCTATTTCCTTTCATACAGCGCGGATCTCTTTCCGTCTGTCTACCTCGCGGGATATAATATTCGAGCATTCTTTATTTACCACGATATCGGCCCATCTATCAATACAGGGGTGGTGACTGGTGGTATACAAAAGAGGGGCGGCTCGTCGTACCCGATGAACGAAGTAAATCACCCATCGTTACGGCTCACCCTCTCTCTCTCTCGCTTCGATTAATCTATTCGTCGATTTTTTCCCCCCTTTGATCGCAAAGGGACTCTCCCCTCCCACCCCCAAGCTCGGTGAAATTTTAATAAATCCACGAATTATCGGGGATGGCTTGGCTTTTCAGCTCGAGCTGGAAAATCTTTCTCTCGTTAAAAATGAGATTGATAAATTTTTTAACGGGCGAAGTCGTTATCCTTGAATTATTTTAAATTGTTCGAGAGCACTGGAG